TGATCAAAAATGCCAACACAGAATCAATTATCTTCGTACAATTACCGGAACTTGGTGAGGAGCACACCCGAAAGATCTGATCAGGTTGTAGCGAACAACCATCTTGTCGGTTCTAGAGTACGGTAGCTTCTGCTTTCAATCCGCAGCAAAAACACACATCCTGAAGCTGCAACGGGTTCAATACCGTTGCCTCCGAATCGTGCTTGGCTGTATGCACTCGACGCATTCGATGAGCCTCGCAGTACTCGTGGGTGTTCTCCCACTGACAGGTCGTTTCGCAGAACTGTCCATCCGGTTTCTTATCCGTTGTGAAGTAATGAACCAACTTTGAGAAGCTGCTCGACAGAAATTCTCAAACAAGATTCATGAGTCTCTATTACGAGTACATGACGTTGGAGATTGGCCCTTCTTCGTACAATTCCAATCGTGTTTGCTTCCAATACTGTTATACTTCCTCTGTAAATTTTGATCTGACCATGTTACAAGAAATCCGTGGAATACCAGATCACCATCGGTCGATGGTTGTTCCCTTAATTTTTGCAAACAGTACCACCATGTCAGTAACAATAGGAGTTTTTTCACAGATGGGTCAACTATAAACGCTTCCACTGGATTTGGAGTATTCAACGAATTTCATAGCGCCTCATATCAACTGCAAAAACCCTGTTCCGCATATGTTTCGGAACTAGCAGCCATATTCTACGCAGTAGAGAAAATTGTCTCACTACCTTCTGACCATTATTTCATTTTTACGGATATTTTTAGCTCGTTGGAGGCTATTTGTTCAAGCAATCCTCGTATTTCCTGCCTAAAATAAGATCTAAACTGAGTGCTTTATCTAACTGCTCCCATACTATCACCTTAGTTTGGGTCCCATCTCATTGCTCAATTCCGGGTAATGAGAAAGCGGACTCGCTAGCTAAGGTTGGCGCTATGGAAGGCGATATTTTTGATCGACAAATCGCCTTTGCGAAATTTTTCTCAATTACCCGTCAGCAAGTCCTCACCAACTGGCAACAAAATTGGAATGAGGGTGATCTGGGAAGATGGTTACATTCTATTCTCCCACAGATATCGAACAAGCAGTGGTTCAAAGGATTGGCGTGACTTTATACGTGTCATGCCAAGGCTCATGTCCAATCACAACTCGTTAGACTCGCATTTCTTCCGAATCGGGCTCGCAGGCAGCAATTTGTGCGATTGTGGTAGTGGTTATCACGAGATCGACCACGTGCTTTGGTCATGCACCTTCCATTGTGTTGCTAGATCCGAGTTATCCGCTTCCCCTAGGGCCCGAGGAAAACAACCTTTGCGGCCCGTTAGAGACATCTTGGCGAGCCGAGATCTCGATTATTTAAATTTAATTTATGTGTTTTTAAAACGGATCGATCTAAGGCTTTAGTAGTTAGTGTCATCTTGTGTTTTCCCAAGTTGTTAGCTGCCCATCGGTGTACCCCCATGGCACCATGTTTGTCTTTTGACGTAGGACTACGTCTTTGATTTCTGTATGGGGGTACACTTTGTGAAAACCGAAAATGGAACGTGTAACAAATTAAGAAAGATTTTGAACGTTAATAACTCAGCTGCCCCTGGTCCAATTTCAATAATGTTATCACCAATCTATCAGAAATATGGCTACGCATCGATAACAATACTTTCGAATGTTGATTTTCAACAAAAAACTATTGAAAAACTGGTAAATTTCCAGCATTGTCCAAAAACGTCGAATTAACACAAATCCACCAATTACCTACATGCATATGCTGTTTCCCCAGCACAGTCGTCACAGAGTAGTAAGTAGACGAAACAAGTCGAAGTGGCATTCGCCTCCGATCCTCGGGCGCGTACGAATAGGGAGGATGGAATTGCGTAATATTTTGCACACTCATCGCCATATTCAGAACCAAACGCAAATTCTTCGAGGTAACCGCCATCCATCGTCTGGCTTGCCGTGGCGGTGTCTGACGTATCTCCGGTCTGATCTACGAGGTGTGCTGAAGGTGTTCCTGAAAAATGAAATCCGTGATGCTGTCACCTACACTAAACACGCCAAGCGTAAGCGGCCATGGATGTCATCTACGTTTTGAAGTGACAGAGACGCACTCTGTTTGATTTCGGAGGTTAAATCATCACCAACTTTGGCAACAAAACGGCTCTTTTCAGGGCCACCAAGCTTATTACAGTAAAGATTAGGAATAGAATTCATCTCCCTGTTTGTCAATATTCAGAACCAACGATCACACAAAATGCTCATGTAATCAAACTGGAAGCAGGGGTACAAATTATTTTGATCAACCTTGATCAACTTTGAATCGCCACGGCCAGATATTATCGATGGAAGAAGCAACAATCTAGCATCTAATTCGATGAAGACGGCAGGAAACATTTGTGAAGCCAAGTTATTTACGAAAGAGAGTGTCGATGAAGAGAATCGATCAATGTAGATAGGACCTAATAAAAAGTGACGCGAGATTTGTTTTCCGTACTGAGCTTCAATGCTGCCGACGCCAGGGAGGCTGCTCCCACACCTGGACCATACCAATCGACCCATCAACTCAACCGGGAACCAACGGCTTTACTTCCCGAAGGAAGGCGTGATCAGAGATGTTATGCCTTAGAACATGCCGGTGGCGCCGACTGAGATTGGACCCAGGCCTGCTGGGGTGAGAGGTAATCACACTAACCACCGGCGCCGATATCTTTCAAGGTGATATCACGGCGAATGAGATCGACCCAAATTTGAGTTTAGTTATCTCAGAAATAAGAAATAAAGTGCAGAAACTCAGCGATGAGTAAATTTGCCTCATGTTTTCCCAGGTTTTTCCAGGATTTTCCAGGGAAAAATTCCCGAATTTGAGAAAAGTAAAGATTGGATTCACTCAGTCTATTGGTACTACATAGTCCGAGATTGAATAAAATTTTCGTCAATTTCCTCATTTTCTGGCAGATTTTTTAGGTTTTCCACAGGAAACCATGAGACAATTTTACTCATCGCTGAGTTCCTGCACTTTTGGCGATTATGAGTGAACTAAACTCAAATTTGGGTCGTTCTCATTCGCCGGGTACGTAAAAGGAAAAGAGCCAGTGTCGCTACTTGATAGCAAACTACTCATAATGGGAGGAGTCTTTGTAGCTTTTATACCACTTGGTTGCACATCATTCTGCTTTAACCTGAAAAGATATAAAAGAGCGCTGCTGTATGGCATTAGCTCATTTTCGCTTCGGACGGCGTGGTGAACAGCAATAGCAGCAGTAGGAAGGTGGTGGCTAGTCCACTCCTTCACTCCTAACAAGCAACAATTGTTGTGGTAAAGGAGGCACCAAGCGTCATCGCAAAGTTCTTCGAGATAACCGCCATCGGTCGTCTAGCTCGCCGTGGCGGTGTCAAACGTATCTCCGGTCTGATCTGCGAGGTGTGCTAAAGATGTTCCTGGAAGTGAACTGTCACCTGCACTAAACACGTCAAGCGTAAGTGGCCATGGATATCCTCTTCAATAAAACGGCCCTTTTCAGGGCCATCAAGCTTACATCAGTAAAGAGTTGGAATAGAATTTATCTGTGCTTGTTTGTCCATATTCAGAACCACAGGCCCCCAACGACCACACAAAATGCTCTCCAGAGTTGTAATCTTGTAACCAAACTTGGAAGCAGGGGTGCAAGTGATTTTGATTGATTCTCTTAATCAACTTTCTCTTTGAAAAAAATTACTACAAATTTGGTACGCCTGCAATTCAAAAACGGAAAGAGTTGAGAAAATAGATTATTGATCATTTAAAAGAACTAAATGCTCTTCACATTTATTCCGTCCACTAGCGGTCCTACGTCAAGCTTCCGTTCGTGTCCCTAGGCACAGACCCTTCTACTTTTTTCATCAGTATGTCGCTTAGTTCGAGATCAAGAGCACATAGCTCTCCAAGCCCTGTGTTCTCAATCCTTTTCCTGACATACAATTGTCACAATTGTTACCCCTAACCTCGAGATAGCCGCGAGTAATCGGCCCCCGCTTTACTAACGTTAGTTTTAAGAAATTTTGTTATCCAAACAATGAATATCGGCTCCGCAAAGCTACGGCAAATGAGCCTGGAAAAATAAACGCATTACAAAAAAAATTCATTTTTCCTCATTTTCCGGCAGATTTTCGAGGTTTTCCTCAGGAAAACATGAGGCAAATTTACTCATCGTTGAGTTCCTGCACTTTTTGCGATTATGAGTGAACTGTACTCAAATTTGGATTGATCTCATTGGCCGTGTATGCAAAATGATTTTAAAGCCATACGATCTAGGTACTATAACTGCATCAAAGTTTCAAAGTTCATGTTCCAAGTGTTTATGCAATAACGGTTCACGTCTTTACTCAGATCTAGACCAACCACGGAACTTCTGTTGAAATATTTCCTTTTCACTGGCATTGCAAGCTTCCAACCCGTACAACTTGAGCTTTATCACACCCAGCAGCATATAAAGCTCACAACTGGCGAATCAAAGCATAACACCCAACGGAAACATTTCACTGGGTGGTAGGTATGTATCGCATATATTTCGGATGCACATGTTGACGATTCGCTGCTACAAACCGGCATTTCGGTCGGTGAGAGTTGTGTGAGTTAATTTTCATCGCGCATGATAACAACAATACCGGTGACGGATAGAGAGAATCTTCGGCATTTCTCTGAGTTGGTCCAATGCCCGTTTGTTGTGCTACACTTTTACACGTAATAATTATTGTCTGTGACTTTATGTGTGGGAGACGCGAACAGTACCAGTCCGAAATGCGGCAGTACCCATAGTATAATGCTTTTCCAGTCACGTGGTATGTTGTGAAGTTAGTAGTATCAAAGTAATCAAACAATATCGTCTGAAAATTGTTCCACTTTGATGTCGATTCTGATCCGTATTCGGAACTCTGACGGTACCACTACCACCATATGCCGGTCCCCTTGAAAAGGTGCACTTGAGAGCAAAAGAAATGGTCTCTCGATGTCATGCAGGCCAGTATTCTTCAAGCTCTCGTCGTGTCGTGGCGTGGCGCTCTCGTGGAGTATAAGTTGGGCCGAAAAATTTTCATCTTTCCCCACTGACTACTGGTGTGGAAGGTGTGCGGGCGTTCAGTGTGTGTACCAACGTTTGTCGCCTTTATTCAGTGTAAATTGATCCGATGCCTTTTCTCCGGCATCTTTGGAGTGATTAAACATTTGAAATTAAACTCTTCCTAGTGAAATTTGAGTTACCGAAGACACGGAAGGCAGTGTTTGGTTTTCGATACATCCTACATCCCGGAACGGTTAATCTTTGCGGCTGTGTGCTAGGACGATCTTCGTGAGTAAGGTTAGACATTGACCTTTATTTGACATTTAAACAATTCCCCATCCAGCGTAAGGTGATATGGTGTCCGTTACGATTGGAATGGTTTGTGCAGCACTTTTACTATGGAGATGCGTTGGATTATAAAACGTGTTCTGATAACGGTTATCAATACGAATTTCGCTTTCCAAAATAACACCATTCGTTAAATTTTCGCGAGTGGTTCACTGACTTATTTGTGTTTCGTCGTCGTTAGTGAATCTTTATTGATCGTGATGGCTTTTTTTTTATTATAGATCGACTGAATTAGAGCACCCAAATTCGTCTTGCCTTAAATTGAGAACGTTTCTTAGAAGATTACATAATAGGGTAAGAGAAAACAAAAATGAAGAACACAAAAGGATGCAAACATTAAACAAAACCAAACCAAACACGCGCCGGGGTCACACTGGTAGATGATTAAAATCTCTAGCTACCTGATAACGAACGTCAAATAACAGCTGTTTGTCGCCACCGTTTTATTTTATTTTTGCTTCGTGTAGTGCGCGCAAAACTTTGAACCTAGGGGAAAAATAGTTTCTTGTTTACAAACACCACCCAACCAGATGATGCAAAACGTGCTCTATCTACTAAGGAATATTTGTCTATACCCTTTATTGCCGCCAGGCGCCATCTTACTATCCGCTGGTAATACGGATACGCGTAAGCAAACCGGAAAAAAATCTAACTGTGCACCACTGCCAAGGTCGTTCAATAACCTTCAGACACACAGCGGCATCAATCGGATGCGTCGGTGTCGGAAAAGTATTGCACCTTTCTTCAAAGATAATGATGTTTCACTTTTGAAATCTGTGACAAATTTCGAGTACTTTTTCAAAAGGTCCTAGCTAACTAATGTAGTCAAATCAAGTTAATTGATGCAAACAATTGCTCTTCTATCGTAGTATATTCTACAAAACACCAATTTAAACATACTTTCACTTATTGAAGATAAGCATTGCTAAAAAAATGTCCAATGCACAGTTTAGAATGATGGGTGCTTGATTGTTACTTCGGGCATTTTGTCTGCTTTGCACGATTGGGGCTCATTTTCGAATGGTGGGTCATGGCAATCCCATCTAAGGTTATAAGTAAGGGTACATTTGTGTAGCTAATGGTGGTGTGAAGGGGACAGGCCCCCTCCATAATTTTTGGAAGTTTATCATAATTTAAATTGTCGTTATAAGAATCCCCAAGACAATTTGGAGGGTACCTGGATCATTCTGAAGGGGGGCAGGCACCCTAGGAGCTCCATCAGCTACGCCAATGTAGGGTACCAGTCTTTTCCCGGTGCTAGGTACTCTATTCTGAAGTCAGTGAATGGGAATCTAAATGGTGTAGAACAAAATGACCAAAGTAACACTTATTAATTAAGTCATTGCGAAAAATCGTCCTATGCAACATGTTCGAAGTACACCTTGACTAGTCAAAACGACCTCCCAACTAACAACTTTTACAATGTAAACGCTTTACTCATTTCATTTATACAACCTCAAGCTGTATTCAAACGTTATACGATATGAGGAAACCGTTACTCAACCTCTATACAAGCAAAACGGACGAACTCAGCTACTGATTACTGTTGGGACGGGCTGGGACAAGCTCTTATTGCATATCCCATTAACGCTTCTATACAGCTGTTATCATGCTGTTTAGTTGTGTGTGAACTTGAAAGGCGCTTATTCAACCTTTTCCCGATTATCCAATAATCACTACACAGCATTCTCTTGAAGCTGGGTTAAATATAGTTTACACTATTTTTTTGATGGAGGATTTTATTGAGTTTATTTTGCTGGAAATCAAATTAATATAAATTAGTTACTAGCACGCCCCCAAATTATTTACCCTGCACCGGAGAACCTGGAATCGAACTCGAGACGACCACATTGACAAATCTTGACACTACCAACTGTGCTACGCCAACTATTTGAACTGATGTAAAAAAATCATCCTGCTCTTCTACAACAAGATCGCTGAGTAGAGGCTTTATAACAGTGCACACCAATCACTTTTCTCGACTAGTTACTGCAGCTTTGTAAAGGATCAGAGTAAAAACTATAAAACTGCAAAACGTCTAAAAATAAACCTAGCTGACTACATAAATGCATCCAAAAATGTATTATACAGTTTATTAGCTGAGTACAAGTTATTGAATTGTTGCAAATGCGCTTTAGATGTTTATGTTATGCAACAAGAGTGGTTGGTTGTGTAGAAACCATCAAATGAGTAACATATTCACTATATTAGCTGCAGCTACAAAATGTGTATAAAAATGACATTAGCGTTTATTGGCTGATGTTATTCAGTGCGACTGACAAATTGAATAATGGTTGTGAAAAAGTTGAGTAAACGGTCTCCAGAACTATTTTGCTAGCTTCTGCTTGTAGCTTTCTGCAATTTTTTTCAGTTACTTTACAGCACAACGCTGCACAAGTTACCTAATAACGCTGAAAATGTTAGTTGGGCTATGTGGTTTTTTCGCATTGTTACAGGTAATTCGAAATAAAACTGTGATTTCCTAGTACAACTGGAATGTTTACCGCTATTATTCACTGACTGCGGCAAAAATGGTTTAGTTAAACGTATTGTTTCAAAACAGTTTAAAAAATAATCTGTCGAACTTCAACTTAGTTTTTCTCAATATGGCGCAAATGATACATTGGTCCTTTTGAAAAAAATAAAAGGGAAATAATGTATTGTAATTTTTGCAGAACTTCACGTGACATACTCACTGGATGATCCCTTAGATAAAGTACTCAGGAAATTTTAAAGTACACTAGACGTTCCTAAACTGAAACATGTTTGCTTTTCAATTTTTTTTTTGACACTTTTTTTTGTTCAAAATTCAAATTCAATTACATTTTGTTTTAATCTAGATGCTCCAGCTAATACAGTAACTTACTAGCCTTAATTTTAATTATATATATCTAAGTGTGTTCAGAGTATTCCTGCATTGGCAATTCAGTATTTACAGTCATTTTAAAACAAAATCTTATCTAAGTATAAAGGGTATTTATTATTGTGATTGAAGATTTCAACGATTTTTGCCTAAAGTTATTCATTATTTTGCTGGACATTTGTACTAAAGTCCCAACATTAAAAATTGCATGTACCTCAGTAGTACTGTACCCAGGGAGGCACCTTCAAAATCATCTTTAGAACGTTATTCTGAATCCTTTGAAGTGCTTTTTTCCTGGTAGTGCAACAACTAAAGCTTGAGTCAGCTGCCCAATTTCAATAATTTTATCACCTATCGATCATAAATATTTCTACGCATCTGTTAAATTTAAGACTTCATCATTTTTCAATATCTCACTATTGAAAATTGCACGAATGTGCAAGTGTTGCTATGATAATTAAAGTTATCACCGATTGCCTGCGAAAACCGATTTCCCTAACACAAATTTCAAAGTTAAATTCCATCCGTTCTCACCAAACGGTGTTTATTCATTCACCGCGTGGTGAGTGATAGTGTTCTACAGAACACAACGAAAGGCTGCCTGCAAGCAGCGAGCTGCAGCCAACATGAGCATCCATAGAAGGAGGGAGACGCCGCACCGCTATTGATCGGAATCAGTAGTTCTTCGTGAGTTGCTGTGGGTCATCTTTTTCAAGCGCGTAGAAAGAAAATAAACAGAAAAAAAAACTCCGCTCAAATTCCTATTCCTACACAAAACACAAGCTCGTGCTGCAGTTAACAAATAAGATTTATTATATAGGACCACGTAGTCATACGTCACCATTGCGTACAACCCCATAGGGCTGTCCCTTGTAGTTTTTGACGTAGGACTACGTGATTTCTATATGAGGGTACACTTTGTGAAAACCGAAAATGGAACATGTAACAAAATTATGAATGATGTGAAACGTTAATAACTCAGCTGCCCCTGGACAAATTTCAATAATTTTATCATCAATCGATCAGATATAGTTCTACGCATCTGTTAAATTTAAGACTTTATCATTTTTCAAAATGTCATTATTGAGAATTGCACGAATGTACAACTGTTGTTTTGATAATTAAAATTATCACCGATTGCCTGCGAAACGCGATTTCTCTAACACAGATTTCAAAGTTGAATTCCATCCGGTCTCACCAAACGGTGTTTATACAATCACCACGTGGCGAGGGGTGGTGTTCTCCAGTACAGAACGAAAGGCTGCCCGCAAGCAGCTATCTACCAAGGCTGGCCTCAACCGCTGATCGGATTCAGGTCCAATCACCGTTCGGTCGTCGGCATCAGCTGCAACAGCAGCAGTGCTTTCAGCGCGTGGCGTTGAACATTGTTCTCCAGTACACAACAAAAGTCTGCCTGCAAGCAGCGAGCTGCAGCCAACAAGAGCATCCATAGAAGGACAGAGAAGCCGCACCGCTATTGATCGGAATCAGTAGTTCTTCGTGAGTTGCTGTGGGCCATCTTTGTCAAGCGCGTCATACTAAAGAAGATAAACAGAAAAAACTCCGCTCAAATTCCTATTCCTACAGAAAACACAAGGTCGTGCTGCAGTTAAAAAATAAGATTTATTATATAGGACCACGTATTTATACGTCACCATTGCGTACAATCCGTCCCTTGAAGTTTTTTTTTTTGCTATTTTCTTTTAAAATGCAACAAACGAGCTTCAGTTTGAGCACTCAACATTTTTATTTTATTAAGATGGTTCCATACATCCGTGTTTTGCGTCCAGATATTAAATGACTAAAACTTCAGATCATATTGGCATAGCATAAAGCATGGTCGGTCTAAAAAATTGTTTAAATGTTAGAAGTTTGTTCTTCAGGCAAGTGTGGATTTCTTGATTATAAGAGGATACAAACATTGTATATATTTATAAAATTTGGCTTGAATGTCTTAGTTGAAGATGCTAATTTCAAATAACAGACTGTAGTGGTAATTTTTATACGATAGATGGAGTAGATGAAAGCATAGAGTTGATAGTTCCGTTAGAGTACGGCAGTGTGAAGATTGTATATAGATATTAGA